ATACTCTTTCCGCTTCAAAATTATAGGCGTCTTTTCTAAGATAAAATATTTAAAAACATAAGATATTTTTTTCAATATACAATTAATAGGGTTCTCCTAAAAATATCATTAACCAACGGTGTGTTTAATAATTTTTTTAATTGAAACATCATATTAAATAGGGTGTATTTAATGAGTCATTACGCTAAAAACAATTGACACGTGTTATGAAATTAAAAAACTAAAAAATGAAGATATTGGAAGACAAAATAGAGAAAAGATAATGAGAGAATTCTTATAAATTACTGTACCTTTCAATACAAATAATGTAATATCTTGATTTTTAGATAATAAAAAAATTGTGCAATTTACTTTTATTGAGGATAAAAAATGATAATAATAGAAATTTTTATTATTTGAGATTATTTAAAAATAATAATATAGTTAGGCATTTAATTATGATTTAAAAATTTAAATTTAAAATCACATAAAAATATTTAGTTAAGATATAATTTTAAAATTTAAAATATATGAATAATTTTGTGTGTGTGTGTAAGTAACGAGAGAGAGAGAGAGAGAGAGAGAGAGAGAGAGAGAGAGAGAGAGAGAGAGAGAGAGAGAGAGAGAGAGAGAGAGAGAGAGAGAGAGAGAGAGAGAGAGAGCGAGAGAGAGAGAGGTGGAAGGTTCTTTTAGATCCCACATCGGTTAGATGTGGAAAGAAAAAAGGTCTCGTCATGTATAAAAAGGAGAGGACATGTAGCAGGAGTCAAAAAGTGGCTGAGATGCAATTTGAAAAAAAAATTACAATAATAGCATAAAAGTTTGAATAATTAAATTTAACTTTTAGTTTTTTTAATAATTGTGGGACTCACAATCTTATTTTTACATTATTTTTTCCCATCTCTCTCTCCCTCTCACATTGCTCCTCCAAATTTCTTATTTAGATTAGTATTTAAAAAATTATTTAATTATAAAATTAATTTTATAGTTATTTTCTCAATAATATTAGCTTTCTAATGACATGATTATTTTGTAGAGAAAATATTTTGATTAATATTTTTTTATAGGATAGTTAATCTGATGATATGACAGATTAAAAATAAATGTTGAAATTATTAGGGATATAATAAATATTATATAATATTTTTTTGAGGTTGAAACTCATATTTAAAAATTTTTGAGTTAGACTCTAGCTCTATATGATTGAATTTATATTGAATTTGAAATGTAAGGATAAATTTCTAATTATTAAATATTTATTTAAGTATGAATAGGTAATTCTAAGGCCATAGAATGCTGATTTGAGGCTTCAGGGTAATTTCAAAATTTTTAATTTATTTTTGGATGAATTTTTAGAATATAGATTGATGAAATTGTTATACTAAAAGTGATTTAAGACTTAAATATAGTTTATTAGGATATGAAAATTCTAGAAAAGAATTTGAAAAGTTCAATGAGGCACAATCCTTAAATTAGTGTTAATATGGATCTTAGGCCTAAAAATTTCTAACTCTTTAAATTAAAGTTATTTATTAATTTTAATGTGAAATTAATATATAATATTATGGAATAATTATGTAGATTATATTGACAAAGATAATGGTGAAAAAGGAGTTGTAAACGGGAACTTATTATTCAAAATATAAGGCAACTATTATTAATGTGTTATGATGGATGTGTGTGTGATTGGTTATGTATTGTTTTGTTGTTTGAAAAAATTATAAATTATGAATTATTAGAAATAAATACTAGAATATACTTGTTTGGAATTATTGCCAAATGGGTTAAAAATTTATTTATTTTTTATCATAATGAGATATTATTATTCAATTATATTTTTGTTTGGATATTTAAATGATGCATGACTTGTTAGAATATTTTAATATATGGTATTATTAGAGATTTTTGTCTGGTTAATTATTATCATGTGGTAAGCCCTCATTAGACCCAATGAGTGGCATGTAGCTTGGTCCAACTCACCTTTAGCCGGGTGATTTGGCATCCAAGGATGGCGAAAGAAGGATATAAGGTGTAGTCATGCAATTAAATATTTGTTTGGTTTATTTGAAAATATTATTCGATTAAATGTTTTTATGTGCCCACTTAGCAATCATATAATTAGTTACATTCACATGCATTATTACATATTAATTTTTAGTTACTAAGACTTTTAAATCTCATTTTCCATGGCTAATATTTTTACAGGAGCGAGTTTGGCCGAGAAAACACCAGAGGCGTAACTTTGGTGTATAAGACACCATCTTTTACATTGCTTCTTATTTTGAATTATGCAATGTATCTAGTACCAACTCAGAACATATCTTATTTTATGGAGCATATAGACTCTAATCCTTTTTATTAACTGCATTTACATGACCAAGAGAATCATGTCTATCCCTCTTGATTCTTGACTTGATTTGAATATCATGCCATAAGAATCCTGTCTGTCCCTCATGATTCTAATTGCTTTTTGGAATATTAATAACATAACCAAATTTACTTGGAAGCATTGAGTTTTGAGTAAAAAAGTATTTATAATATGAACAAGTTTACATCCTATAATTATATTCTATGAAGGATAAGTGTTGGATTATGGTGAATGTTATGCAGACTCATTTTGGATATTGTTAAACTAGTATTCTTTAGGAAGTGTTAGTACTTAGTAGTTAAATAGATTTACGGTATATTGTCTTGGATATACGTTTGGGTCACATAATAACATCAAAAATTTGTATTTAGGAATTGTTTGGGATTCTACCATCCTGGGATAGGCTTTTGTACCAAATGCTGATTTAAAAATTATTATTTTCTTTGATATGAATTGTTTTACATTATTTTCCATTAGGTAAAATTTTATTATAAATGTATTTTTAATTATCATGATAGAGCTTATTTATTATGTTAAATTCTTTTTACTATGATAAGCTATTTGTAAAATATTTTATTTACATGGTAAATTCTTTTCTACTATAGTAGAGTTTTGAAAAGAAGTTTTGTTATTTGTTATTATGGTAGAAATTTTTCTACCATGATAAGGATTTAATAATGTAAAAATAATTTATTGATCTAATAATTTGTGAAAAATTAGTTTAAAAATTTTAAGGTGTTACAAATAATATGCCCTATTTATAGGCATGGTTTTATATAGTAAAGATTACCCAAATGATAAAGGCAATAAATATAATGGTAGTCAACTCTCATAATGGTGAGAGTTTCATGGAAAAAGATAAAGATGAAGAGGTGAGGAAAATGACCATCCACTCTTCATTTAAGATTCATAACACTCCCTTTTGATGTCTATTATATAAGAATGTGCCTCATTAAAAATTTTAATTAGGAAAAACCTTATGGGGAAAAAACCTAGCAAAAAAAAAAAAATAGTGCATCATTCATTTACACTCTATTTAATGCTGCTTCATTAAAACTTTGCTAGGAAAACCCAATAGGAAAAAACCCTAGACAAGGGAAAAAAAGTACAATGTGTATTAACTTCCCCTCTTGACAGTATCAATTGATATCTTTGTCTGTGAAGTCTAATATCATGAGCAAACTTTTCAAATATTTTAGTAGGAAGTGACTGGTGAACATAACAACTAGTTTTTTTTTTTGGAACAAATTTGTTAAATGTTAATTTCACTTTTCTTTTGAAGATCATGAGTGAAAAAAAAAGTTGTGAAATATATTTCATTTTATCTCCTTTAATATACTTTTTTATTAATTGGGCAATACAAATAGTATTATCTTTATATATGATCATCATGATCATTTTGTTAGAAGACATACCATAAGTAATTTGTATGTGATGGATTAATGATTTTAACCACACATATTCTTGACTTGCTTCATGTACAGTTAGAATTTTTGCATAATTAGATGGTGTGGCTAATATTATTTGTTTTATAGATCACCATGAAATGCCTATACCATCATTTGTGAACAAATAGTCTGTCTGTGATCTATTACCATGAGAATAAAAAAAAAAAATCCAACATCTTCATAACCAATATGGTCAACTTCAATTACTTTGGAATAAAATAATACCATATCCATAGTATTTCTAAGATAATGAAAAATGTGCTTTAACTCCATTCCAATGATTTCATGTTGATAAAGAATTGTATCTCACTAGTAAGGTAACAACAAATGAGATATCAAGTCACGTGTGACTAGCAAAATACATTAGTATTCCAATTGCACTAAAATATGATATTTCTGAACCAAATAATTTTTCATCACCTTTTCCTAAAAGGATATGTACCCACTTTCAATGATCTTACAATGATTGAGGTATATAATAGATATGATCTATCCATATAAAATCATTTTATGACCTTTCTTGTATAAGTTTCTTGATATAAAAAAATCTCGTTATTCACATTTTTCATTTGTAATCCAATACAAAATTTTGTTTTTCTTCAGTTTTTTATTTCAAATTCTTTCTTTAAGAAATTTATAGTTTTTGAAAGCTTTTAAGTGTTCTAATAATATTTATGTCATCAACATATGCAACAATTATAACAAACTCTTTTTCAAATCTTTTTATAAAAATACAAGGGTAAATTAGATCATTTTTATATACTTCTTTCAACAGATATTCAATAAGTCAATTATATCACATATACTCTGATTGTTTCAATCTATATAAAGATTTATTTAGCTTGATCAAATAATTTTCTTAAAAACTTAAATTGTATGCTTCTGACAATTTGAATCCTTTAGAGAGTTTTATATAAATGTCACTATCGAGTGAGCCATACAAATAAGCTATAGTAACATCCATTAAATGCAAATAGAATCCTTCACTTATTGCCAAACTAATTATTTTCAATAAAAATTATTATTTTTTAAACAAAAATTGTAAATGTGCACAAATGTATTTGGTCCAAAATATAAAATATTGGATAACTTTTATAATTACTTTTTCAACCATACCCTTAATTCATTTATTATGCTTTTTGAAAAAGTAATATGTTAAAATTTTAATTATTATTAAAGCATTTATATAGAATATTTAATAAGTATACATTAAAAAGATATAATTTTTTTAAGAAATTAAAATGCTAACAAACATGTTTTGAAAGTCGTGAATTAATTACCATGCTCTTGATCCGAAGGGAGTATATGAGAAACTGCACACCAAAAGAACTCCCCTCCCTCTTACTTCTTCAAATTACATAGCCTCGGAGATCTTCTAACTGCCACCTTGCAGGAAGCACTACCAGAAACCCTAGCTCGCGAAGCCCTGCCCTGGAGCGTCGGATCTCTTCGGCAACCATGTCCTTGACTTTCAGGAGACCTTATAGCTGGATAACTCATCTTAGAAATGCTTCTGGTTATCCTCCTAAAGCTTAAGTTAGAAGCATCCTCTGAGTTCTCCAGCTCATGAACACTCGATATAGGGTTATTTTTCTTTGTCTCCAAGAAACCCGGGTTTTTATCGGTTCTTTTTCCAGGAAGGTCTTTACTTGACTTGGGAGAATCCATATTCATCCCAGATTGAGGACCGGGGTTTGGATTTTCACCTTGTGCTTCAAGTATAACATCTGAGATGACATTTTCATTATTGTGCATCTGGTCATCTTGTATATTAGATGTCCCAAGAATTGTATCCTCCTTGCCCTGGCATTCCCTGGCGTTCATTGTTATGTCATATTCCATGTTACAACCAGGCTCGGATTGCTCGGAAATATTCTGCGGAGATGTTTCTACTGCATCATTTAACAATTGATTCAGCAGCCAAGAACAATTCAGATCTCCTTTATTGGTTAAAAGATCTGCAATCTCGCCAGCATTCTTCAGTGGACAAGTACTTAAATCAAGAGGCCCAGAATTCTCAGTGCCATGTTGTTCGCCAACACCGTAGTATATGTACTCTTCCCAGTCATATGGAAATCCAAACAGGAAATGTCTGCATACCTGTACCGAGTTTAAAGGATTAAACGATCTGTAGTCTTATCATAATTATTGATCATCTATATTTAATCCCATGACTTTTCTCAACATGTTGGAGGGGGGTGAGAATAGGATGCTACATACAAATAAACCAGGCTTTAAGACAGCTATTCTAATTAAAATTTAACAGTTGTATACCATACAATCATGTACAAAGGAAAGGTTCAGTGATTACAATTTAAGTGACATATAACATGCTGATATCTTAACCTTTCAAGTACATTTTTAGCCAATAATTTTTCAAATAATCGAAAACCCATTTAGAAAACATTTAACATTCACACGTAAGCACATGCAAAAACACATACATGTCACCATCTGATACTAAATATATATTTGTTACTTGTTAAACCCAATTATACTCTAAAACAGTCCTCATGAGCTTGGAAATTAATTTCCAATGTATCAGGCAGAGAAAAGGTTGGAGGTGCCTGGTTGAAGTGTACAATTTTATGAACCATGGACATTATCTTCAAGTGTACAATTTTATCATGGACAAATCGTTTGCTCAATAGCAATGAGCTACACAGAGGTTCATAGCATAAATTATGCCTGGCAGGCATGAAAAGAAAGATAGTAGTTTTTAATTCTATAGCATATAGAACGGGCGAAAACTCCAATTAAACAAGATTATGTTATCCAACTCTTCCAAATAGTATGGCATCTCCACAGGAACATCAAATTCAACTCAAACCAAAAACCTGTTGCAACACTACTACTAGAATCATGGAACATGACTGACTGACTTGCGCATTTTATTTTCTCATTCCTTGAAACAATCTAATGTGAGCAGAATTCGTCAAGATATTGTGATCAACTGTAATATGGAGGTGCCCACATTTATTGTGCCCTGAATAGGATTACCTCCAATAGAAGAATACCTATGACCAATAAAAAAAATTGTAATATGGCATCACAAAATAGCTCTAAGTTGTATCGAAACTTGGCCTTTGGGTGTAGCACAGAAAATGAAGAAAAGTGAGCTATGAAAATCAGATTGAGCCTCTTCATCCAAACGACAGCCAACTTCTCATGATTTCAACATGAACTCATGTTTCCCTATATTAGAGAGCTCAGGTTCCTCAGGACGTCCCCTCTGAAGAGACAGCTTTTCTCACAGTTTTCCCCAATTCAATTCCTTAGCTTGGAAAATGCGTTGGGAAAGACATTTTATAAATTGTCCATGCTTTTATAAAAATTGTCAACGCTTTTAAAAAGTATCTATATATAATTCAACACCTGTAGACGAGAATCCACCAATTTACGTGTAGCACCAGATCCAAAACATCTGATAAGAACAAGACAAAGTAAAGCAGTGAGTGGCTCATACCATAGTTAAAACCATAACTCTTGGGATGGATGTACAAGTCCCCCCGTTAGAACCTTCTCCTAGCGTTAGTATAGACAAGAAGCAATTATTCATTTGTCAAATGAGCATTATCTCATTCACTTGCACTCTGATAAGACCCCCTCACTTGTCACTGTCAATGCTCACAAAAGTAAACATAAAAGAATGTCAGAAGGGCAGAAATGATGGGTTTAAAAGAAAATACAATGGGTAAGAACCAATTGAGGTAGAAAAGTAGGCGAGTGAAGTCAGGCAGTGTTTTGGTAGGGGCAATCTACTCTTTGGCTTTTTAAATCTGCATGTTCGTGTAGAAGGAGGGTGTGGAGTATTTTGGAAAATGGTGGTCAAGTGAGGAGAGTTCTGACTTCTTGAACGCCCAATTGGAGGTGGAGAAGATCATCTTTCTTCATCATTTTATCCTTCTATTTTGGTGGGTGTTACTGAGTGGCTTGTGTTTGCTTCATCCTTTGACCTTTCTGCTTAGTGGGTGTTATAAGTGAGTGAGTGGCTTATGTTTTGTGATTCTCCTCTGTGGATGTATTTTGTGCTGTTTCTCTGTAAGTTAAGCGTAGGAGCTTATGAGGGAGATGAGATTAGCTTGAATCATTATTTCTCTTGTAATGCAATTTAGATATTCAGTAACAGTATTTTCAGTCCCATTTGAAGTGTATTTTCTGGTTTTTGCTTGTTTTAAGCTTGTTAGAATATATGGTCCTATCAAACTCATAAATGACCCCGAGCAATTTTTCATTTCTCAAATGAACATCATCTCTATGGTCCCAAAAAAATGATCATTATATCATCCTGTTGCACTCACAGATAACCGTGATATAACCATATCCGTGGTCATAAATTGTAGTGATCCCCCAAGGCTTCCGTCTTCAAAAACTGTATATTCCCAGATGACAGAGTACTCTATAGTTGGTTATAATCTAGTCAGTGCATCTTCCTGAGAAAAGGTTGATCTTAACCCCTATATGATAGGGTGCTTTATAAATGGCTAGAAACCTGTAAGTGCATCTTCCTGAAAGCAGGTTGGTCTTTAACTCTCGGAGTTAAAAGCTATACTATTCTCTGCCCGCGAAGAGGGTTAAAAATTCTGCATTAGGATCTTGAGCAACAACACATGCTACGCTAACAAGTAAAGCCTGCATGCTAGAAGTGAAAAACCCTACCCCCATGTTGATATCCATTTAGAGAAACTGTGTCAAACCAAATTAAAAAATAACAAGAATTATTAAAAAAAAAGAAAAAAAACAGACATCACATCCATAAAGGTATCCAAAACTGTAAAGTTAAACAGTTTTCATTATCTGGTGAAAATAGCAAGAATTATTAAAAAAAAAAAAAAGTTCACATGCCTCAAATGAAAAGCCATTCTCATTTGTGTGAGATTTGTTTATGAAGCCAGTGATGATAAAGGTGATGCCGTCTTGTGTTTCAAGGATATTGGTCTCATGTCTCTTTGCAATGGGTGAAGAGAAAATGACCCTTTCCCCAAGCCTCCTGTATTAGAAAATCGAAAAAGAAGCTATGCTAAAACTTATGAAACAAGTGAGTCAGAGACAGAAATGGCACCATCATGATGCCATCACCACTCATACCTTTAGTACAGGCACAAAAGCTGATAGCGAGCATAATTTTAACCAGTCTAACATAATAAAACATGTTCAAATCATTTTGGAACTAACATTCACGGAACCATATTTCATGGAAACTAATTTATTACATCACTCTATGACTACAAGCATGTAAAATACATATTTCTTTTATGACATTACACTTTCCTTTGGCCCTTTCATTGCCATAAAAGGCAATCTTTTCATCATGCTCCAATGCAATTAAAATGCAATATAACAAACAAGTTACTGCACAGGAAATCTCACTAAGTATTGCAGAGGAAACAAAAACAGAAATGCATGTTACTTATATACTACAACCCTCCATTCCAGACGGAGAACTGACTTGAGGAGAAAACTGTAGCACTCTATTTTTCTCAAGATTGTAGATACTATAGTCCATTTCATCTCTACAAATAACAATATAACTTGTTTTCACTTGATTTATCTTGATAGTAAAGGAATGTTCTGATTCTCAGCTATATATTACCTGAGCTGTAATCTTAATCCAAGTCTAATTCCACGCTAAGACTGTTTTACTTTTCTAAAAATTTCATCTTTCGAGACATATACACCTCAGGAGCATATGTATATACACAAGCACGTGCGCACACACTTAATATAATATAATGAGTGAAATCAATCCCATACTCCATCGAAGCAACTCCTCCCACAGCTAAGCCTTTGCCTTGAGGTTTCACCAGCCACCAATCATGTAAGAAAATCTTGAAAAATGAACAATAAATCATTAGAAATCCAAACTACGAAAAAGAAAAAAGAAATGTAAGAAAGAAAACAGGTTCTTAGCATATTACATAAGTGGAAATAGATTGGTTCATACAGTTTTGTATTGTGAGGAGGAAATGGTCTTCTTGTTAGAGACTGGGGATTTAGGTGCCTGGGCTTTAAGGCTTGAGCCTGAATCCAAATTGGGTGTTTTTAATGTGAACGATGGGAGATTTGGAATTCTCTTCCTCACCATTCTGATCTCTGAAGTGAAGAAAAGAACAAATTCAGGTGTGAATAGAAATTCCATTTATTAGGGAAAAAAATTCAATTCAATTCCAATTAAACAAACCTGAAAAGGCGGAATAAATCAGGATTCAACAGAGCAAGAGAAAACTGAAGAGGCAACTAGTTGCGAGTACAATGCAGTATCACTCCCTGTATAAATTTTAAATGTTTATCTTAAGACCCACAAATCTTAAAGTCCAGAATTCCTTCGATCTTGCACTCTCTGATTAACACATTGGCTTACCATGCCTAGAGACAATTCATAATAAAAGAAGAAATATTTATTCAAAGCTTTGAAAAACATTTCCATATCCATTTTGGTTCACGTAAGTGAATTTTAGTTAAGAGAAATTAAAGGAAAAAGCAAAAGTTAACTCTGAAAAACTGCAGGTTGCATCTTTATGACAGACATATTAGAGCACTCACAAGAGTTATGCCATCTCCTTGAATTACAAATCTACAGCCAGATGACATTGTCAATGAACTGAAAAGTTTTTTAAGGAAGTAGTATTGAATGAGGATCTAGAATTGAAACCTAATATCATTTTTAATTGATAATTATATTTATAATATGAAACGACCATAATACCATAGGCGGACCTATACTAGATGCCCCCACCGAAATCTTTGAAATATGCATAGTTGATATAATGCCCTTTTAATTTTTGTTCCAGATACTTTGACACGACTCAAGCCAGGTCATTTACAATATCATACATCACAAATACCTTGAGAATTTTCCAAAATTGATTATTACATAAAATGATTAATAAACAGAATGCCAATACACAACAAATCCAACATTGCAAAACAACACAATTCAAATCATATAAGTCGCTAGTAATCAAAATGAAGAGGGAAGAAGTATAATAGCCAACTACACAGCATTCAAGCAAAAACTAGTGCAAAAGAAGTAAACTCAATATGTAAATATTGCCAAATTCAAAAGGCCCTAGGGTTCGAACCTTCTTCACTGCTTGCCCGAGAACAACTACGCAGGGCTGAAAATGGTGGAAGGCGTCCAACTCAGAGAGACAAATTGGAATCCGCCGTCAGCAATCAAAGTCGTCTGCCACCCCTAACGGCGACACAAGTGGGAAGCTGAACAGCGAACGAAGAGGAGCATTAGAGCGCGACGGGAAGAATTGAACTGTTGGCGGGAGAATGAAAAAAAAAATAAAAAAATCAGGTCTTTAATATATATAACCCTCCATTCAAAAATACAAAATATTTTAATATTTTAAAATATAATTATTATTATTTTTAAATAACTTTAATAAATAAATTATTTAATAATTATTTTATAATAAAATATCTTACGAAATAGAGAGACATATAAAAAATAATTTTAATTTAAAAATAAATAAATATTTTATTAAAAAGTAAAAGTTTATTAAAAATACCCTACATAAACTATATTAGTCACTTAACTCTAGTTTTAAAGAATTATATTTTATATCAATTATTATTATTTTAAAAAATTAATTTAATAAGTAAATATTTAAACATTTAAAAATTATAAGAAATTTAATTTAATAATTTTGACAAAAAATAAAAAAATAAATTTTGAATTAATACATTAATTTTTTTATAAAAATTTTATATGTATAAAAATTATTTAGAATACATGCTTTAATTATATAAATTTTCGATCATGAAAATTATTAATTAATGCCAAATTTTTATGATCCTTTAATAAAAATATAAAAAATTATAATTTTATTTTTTAAAAAAATAAAAATGTAAAACATTTTAACTTCCAAATATTATATTAACATATCAAACTATAAAGATTTAATTAAAATATAATAAATTACAAGAAAATAATTCAAAATTAAAGAAATTGTAAAGATTTAATTGATTTGCACCTCAATATTTTTATTTTCTTATTAATGTCATGTTTAATATCATTTATTAAGGGTTGGGGGAAATATTAAATCTGAGTATATATGGAAATATTTTTTGAAATAATTCACTAAGAAAATTTTAAAATTTCAAATATCCTCAAATTTTAAACAATGTATTATAAAAAATGACAAAAACTTAAGGGTGTGCATTTGGTTGGGAGGTTTTGAAATTTCTCTCTCCTCCCATCATTTGGTTGAGAAATTTAAAAAAAAAAAAGGGAAACTAAAATAATTCCTCACCTTCCCTCATTTTGTTTCCCTTCAAATTGAGGTTTTTTAAAGAGGAGTTAATTTTTTAATTATTTTATCCTTATTTACTTTTTAATATTATGAGTATACCTATGGCTTAAAAAACTCTCTTTCATATCAGAATGTGTCTTACTCCCAAACCTGGACTTACCTCATTAGATTTTTTTTAAAAAAAATTACAGGTTATCATATTTTATTATATATTTAAGGAATTTATTTTTTATAAAAAATTATTATCATTATAATTATTGGTTCAATTTTTTATTCACATATCAACAATATGATAGGATGAGAGTAAATCTTAAAAATTATTAAATTTAAAGTGAAGTATGAAATTATTTTTCACAAGGAACAATTAAAAAAATTAAACTAATGTATATGAATAAAATAGTAAATTAATTATTACCTCTCCCCCTCTCCTCTCCTCTCATAAACTAAACAAAGGATCATTAAAACTCTTTCCCTCCCATCCCTTCTCACAAAACCAAACAACATAATATTAAAACCCTCCCCTCTTCTCCCCTTAAATCAAACACACCCTAAAAGATCAGATAATTATATTTAAATATGAAGGAAGTACCTAATACTCAAGTTTAAAATTCTATGAGTATACTTATTTTTGGGGATTTAAGAGTTTATTTATATCTTTTTTATTTTGCGAACAAAGAGTTTATCTATATCAAACCGTCACCCGTTCTTAATTTCTTAATTAGACTAAGCAGTTCATATTAATAAATTATCTATTTAAAAATCTTAAATAACTTTACTTTAGAAGGTAAAAAAAAATAACTTTATTCTATCCTCAAACTCATGTATCTCTTTTATTCGATGGAGACTTAATTGTGAACCAAATTTCAAGGTGACTTAGAAAAAAAATATTAATTAAAAACATATCAATTTTAACAAAATATAATATTCTTATATTGTAAATTGTAAATTCATAAAAAACATTTGTCTGAGCCCGGGTTCGAACCGGGGACCTCTAGTGTGTGAGACTAGCGTGATAACCAACTACACCACCCAGACAGTTTCTTCCTTTTTCTTTTAAATAAGAATCATCAATTATCGAGGATCCACATGATTATCGCAACAGATGATAGCATACGGTGTCCGATGGAAAATAATTGTTTTGAATCTTGATCATATTTATTAAATTAAAACATTCAAAACTTTCCAAAATTTTGACACAATTGTACAAATTCTCCTCATTTTTTAAATTTTAAAATTAATTTTTTAATCATTTATTTTTTTTAAACCACATAATCCTCTACTGTTGTTTTTATTTATTTTATTAATAAAAGTTATTACATCAAGAAGAAAAGACACGTGGTATAATTTTATAAAGATTTTATCCACATTTTTGTTATCGGTGATGAATAGTTTTCTTGTTAAAGAATAAATTTTTATTTATATGATTCTTTCTTAAGGTGTGTTAAAAAATAATAGCTAAAATATATAAAATTCTTCTAAGTCAATTACACAAAACCACCCTCACATTTAAAAGTCCAAGATTAATCTATCTAACCTTTTTTATTTTTACCATTTATATAATTAACATATCATATAACAAAAAAAACACCTAGTAGCTTATGTGACATATTATGTAAGCTAATAATAAATTTATAGAGTTTTTATCTTTTTTTTTGTTATTAATGGTGCATATTTTCTTTGGAGATCAATTTTTATTTATATGATTCTTCCCAGTTGTGTTAAAAAATAATTGAAACATTTTTCATATCAAGTGCTGTCATTAATCTAATGTAACAAACTCTGTTAATAAAATAACAAAATCGTAGGGGTTTTGGAAAAAATAAAAAAATTAGAGAAGTTAATTTTAAATGTTTAAAGATAAAAAAAATTATGTGTAACTATATTAAAATTTAAGATAGTTTTGTATATTTTAATCCATTTATTACATCTCTGTCACTGTATAATAAAATAAATTATTTTTTATTTTAAAACATTAATTTTAAATTCATAATTGATTATTTTAACATGTATATATTGAGTGTTTAGATTTAAAAAAATATGATTTAAAGTTTATAATTAATTTTGACATATAATATATTTCACCCTGAACTATCACAAGATTGAATTAGCAAAAATCATTCTTTATATCAAATCTTGAACTTGATGTAATTACATCTTTGCATAGTATTATTAAAAAAAACTTATATACATTAATTATAACTCATTGCTACATATATCCAATATAAAAGCTGGCTCAATCCCACTTAAATTGATATTAACATTAATATATTTAGTGCAATTCATGATGTCCCCCGACATTAATAATATACCATCACGTGCACGCCACTAGCTTTCCATTATCTTTGGGGATTTCTTTTTTCCTGCTTTTCGTAACAAGTCGCTAGATTTGCTACTTATTTCACACTATCGTGGATAAGTATATGATTGGAGATGACTTTTAGGTTTTAGCATTTGTCAAATGGATTTTCTTTCTTCTAAGTTATGTTGCTTCTGTATTTGGTTTTATAGCAATGTATTGGACTATTTTGGCAATATTATTAAACTAAATTGGGAGAATGAGAAAGTAAAAGTCTGAAAAAAAAACAAAGAAAATTAATTTTAGTTAAGTCCCAATAAAATTATCTAAAAAATAAGTTGCAAATGTTATTTAAATAGTCGCAAACATGTCCCTCAATTGCAACTTGAAAACTTTTAGAATTTAAATGTTTTGCTTGTGATTGAATTCATGAAGTTACAATTATTTGAATCAATATCTAAAACAAAAATTTCTTTAAAAAATTTTGTTAAAGGCCTAACTATCATTAATTCCCTGTGTTAAAACTTAATTATCATTTTTCCAACTAGCAAATTGGTGCTACAATTTCGATGTTCGGAATTAAACTCCCCTAATACATTTTTTCTTAATTTTGATTTGCCATACTTGTCACAATTATAACACCATATAATTTTTATTTGATGAAATCTGGGTTATTTAAATTTAGTCAGGCGATTCATATTTAAAATTTTGAATATGTAATTTTTTAAATGATAATTTATTTTTTAAAATGATAATTATAATATTATTTTTATTTTATATTATGCATCTATTGAAATGAAATATTATTTAAAATATAATAATGAAATTAAATTAAATCTAAATTAAACAGTCTAGATTGATGATCACCATACATGTTCATCAATGCAATGGGCATGAAATGTGATTTCTTTAATATTCACACTTAAAATTAAAGTTGAAACCTTTCCTTGTTAAATCCCTTTCATTCAATATAAATATATAGAGATTTTTTGGTTTTGTTCTCATTTTTTGTCTTTGAAAACTATTTTGTAAACTAAGTTTTAATTTTTTTTAAAATAAAATAAAAATGCATTTGATTATGTTAATTTAAAAATAATTTTAAAATTTAAAAAACTGCCTATTATGGTGGTCACCAATGGTTGATGATGGTAACCTATAATAGTGATTAATTATGACTGAAGATAATTTATAATAATCAAATGTAATGTATTTTAAAAATAAAAATAAAACAAAAATATCTCTAAATTTTTTATTTTTTAAAAACAAAAAATAATAACAGTTTTTAAAACATTTAAATACAAAAAATTTATCTAGACAATTTTTTAAATTTTTTACTTTTAAAAACGAAAATAAAAAAAGCCTTAATCACAATTAGTTTTTTTTTTTTTTAAATTTTTAGGTTTGCTACTCCAAAGAAATAAGATACATATCAATTTCATTTTTTTTCTATGTGTTGCATAATTTAAAGCCGTCCCTTGTTTCTTTCTCTAACTAGTAAAGTACCCGTGCGATGCACGGGCTATATACAATAATTTGTTTAATAAGTGACATATCTATTATTTACGATGAACTAAAGTTTTTATAAATAAGTGTCAATCTTGTAGGAAGATTTTTCTTAAAAGAATAACTTGTAGCATATTATCTTTAATACTCCATATCATCATAAATATAGTGAGGCTATATATATCATTTTTGATGTTAA